GAACATGAGTATCCACACGAAGACCACCAGCGGCTGTGCAGGTGGTCTGAGCTCTGCCTATGGGGGCCTCACAAGCCCCGGCCTCAGCTACGGCCTGGGCTCCAGCTTTGGCTCTGGCGCGGGCTCCACCTTCAGCTGCACCAGCTCCACCAAGGCCGTGGTTGTGAAGAAGATTGAGACCCGCGATGGGAGGCTGGTGTCCGAGTCCTCTGACGTCCTGCCCAAGTGAACAGCTGCAACAGCCCCTCCCAGCCTGCCCCTCCTCAGGCTGCCCAGAGCCCAGGAGGGAGGTTGCTGTGCAGGGGAGCACAGGGAACGGGAGACCCACCCGATGCTCAGCCCTAGCCCTCGGCCCACCCGCGGGGAGTTTACTGCCTGGGGACCCCCCTTGCCCATGCCTCCAGCTGCAAAACAATTCAATTGGCTTTTTTTTTTTTTTGGTCCAATATAAAATCTCAGCTAGCTCGGGGAAAAAAAAAAAAAAAAAAAGTGCCTGTCAGGCAATCACTATACCTTCATAATAACAGGAAAATCACTGTCAGGATCCCAGATGATTCTCAGCCATTCTGTCACTCATTCTCTCTCTTTTTTTCATTTATTTCAATTCATTCCTCAGAATAGTTGGGCTCCATTAAAGTGCCATGTCCCACCTCTATTTGAATAAAGTTATCTGGTTTTTTTTTTTTTTACCCTGTATCTACCAGGAGGCTAGAGAACTTTTGAAATAGCATACTGATTTGCTTTTACTCTTTTCTTGTACTTTGGAATTCCTTCTTTAGAAAGAGAAAGAGTGTGTGCACATAGGAAATTACCATCTGAAGCAATACTGAATTTTCTATTTCAAGTCAGGTAGGGGAGGTGAATTTTAGGATCTTGTAACCAGAAGCCAACACAGGCACTGAGAGAACTAGAAAATACTGATTCATATTTTCTATTCATCGTATTGCTAAGAAAACTGATGCTTTTCGTATAATGTTAGTGATAAATCCTTTGCCAGTAGCACAGATAGTTGTTGTAGAATACGTAAGGAATATTCACTCATGGACCATTCCAAGTACGCTATCTTCAAAAGAAACTAAAAATAACATTGGCTTGCTCCATATATAAAAAAGAGTCTTAACTTTGTCTTAATTAAGGTCACAGATAGAATTGTCCCCCCTTTTTATTGTAGCAGACATCTGCACACTGGGTGCTATTTTGGTTTGAGAGAAGCAGAAGCAAAGTGTTTTTGGTTTTTATTTCCTAAATTTCTTATTGCTCCCATTAGGCTAGCTTTTAGTGCATTTACAAAACGAACCTCTGATGTGCTTACAAGGTCCCTCTCCCTAGGACCTTCCTCTCCCTGCCTTCTCCTGCAGAGGTCTGGCCACTGAGACCTATTTGGCTGCGGTATCCTAGGCCAAGGTTGTTCTCACCTTCACTAAGGAATTCATTCTCATCCATATTCATGATTTTGGAAACTTCAGATAAAACCAAATGATCCTTTCTTTCCTTTTTGGCTTGGATTGATGATAGGGTTTAGGACTTGTTTTTTGAAAATAAGATTTTTAGAACCATGTCAGAGCTATCAGAATGGATATGTTGATGCTGTATGCACAATGTTGCTGTCTTCTGCTTCTGCCTGTGGCTTACAAAGGAAACAAAAACTAATAAAATAGCACAATTTCCAAGCTCTACTTAGATTCTAGTCTCCGTAACATGGCATGTGGAAAATAAAGTGAGTGCTCCAAAGAGATTGTTACATGTGGTTGCGTGATCTTAGCTCTTGTGCAGTGTTTCTTAAATAGTTCTGTAGGATTTTCAAATAGCCCATACGCTCTGCGGGGACTGAAAAATAAAGCCAGCATTCCTGCTGGAGAGTAGAGGATTAGGCAGTGCCACGTCCTTCTGTGCTTTCAGCAGGTCGGTCCTGTAGGCCCTGGTAGATGGAAAAGACTCAGAGCTTCTTAGAAAAGAGTCAGGAAGACGGACAGGCTGAATCTGCATGCAAGCACTGGTGGAGCTGATCATGGAGTGTCTGGGAAGACAATAGGAGAACTTGTCCCCTTCCACAGACAGATCACTGGAGAACAGTTGGTCATGAAGCGCACAGGAGTATCAGCGTGAAGGAAACAGCTTCCTTTACCTTTCAGCCACTTTCCTCATAGTTGAGAGGTTGAGATAAGGAATGGGGCCTGCCGAGGGAAATAGAAAAGAAGCCTAGGGTAGTCTCAGATTTGCTCTTCATCTCACACTTACCCATTCCTAGAGCCATGGTCCTTAAGCCCTTATGCAGGTAAGTGAGGTTTACTCATTTCTTTGTAAAAATAAATTGTCTTAGTCCTGAAGAATGAATAGAACAATCAATACCCACAATGTCACCTGCAGCACTGAGCACCTAAACATTACAAAGTTTGTCTTTCACAAAGTCCTACTTCCTGGCACACTTTCTTTTGTTTTGAGACAGGGTCTCACTCTGTTACCCAGGCCACGATCTCAGCTCTCTGCAACCTCTGTCAGCCTCCCAGGTTCAAGCAATTCTCCCACCTCAGTTTTCCCAGTAGCTGGGACTACAGGCATGTGCCATCATGGCTAGCTAATTTTTGTATTTTTTGGTAGAGATAGGGTTTTGCCATGTTGGCCAGGCTGGTCTCGAACTCTTGATGTCAGCTAATCTGCCTTCCTCCGCCTCCCAAAGTGCTTACAGGTGTCAGCCACTGATTACAGGTGTGAGCCACCATGGCCGGCCTCCAGCATACATTCTAAAATCTGAGTCAATGGGTATGGTAATTAAGTAACACTGAAGTATGCCCAATCATAAGGGGTGGGGGCAGCATATTCTTCAAAGCTGATAGAAGCCTGGATTCCATAGGAAGGGATTTGGCCAAAGAGAATACAGACAATTGGGGAGGCGGAGGAGATGCTGTGGAACCACTGGTCTTAACAGAAGTGACTTCCCTCCTTATCACCCTTACCAACCCTCCTTCCATGTCTGGAATGAGAAAAGAGAAGGAGCATCATTTCCAGAGCCTACAGCTTATCTCCCAGGCATCTCAGAACCAGTTTCCTCTTGGAGAGCATTCAAGGAAAAAAAGTCCAGGAAATGTCCTCTGAGAGTTTCATCAAGCTTTTAGAGATCACTCCTGTGGGGCCCACTGCTGTGCTTTTCTGAAACATCCATTTATTAACAGAGCCCCACTATTTTTAACATGTTCCAGGCCCTAGCACAAAACACAGATCTTAAAGAACGTTTACACAGAATCCATGCCGAGTCTCTGCTCCTCGACCCTCCCGCTGTCGCCAAGTCGGGTGACAATCTGGCAGAGGTGGGTAGGTTTCTCTTCTGGTAATGTCTCCTCGACCGCCACCTGCTCCCGTGATACCATCTGTTCGGTTGCACGGCCTCCCTGCTTCCCCTCGTGGGTGCTGTCCACCTCTCTGCCCTCCTTCTCTGGGTGCTGGCTGCAGCTGCCTCATGGACTGGGGTCTGGGACTCAAATACTTTCTTGAGCATATGCTGCTAATTGCATTTTTAAGCTGCTCCCTGCCCCTGAATTCTTTCTTTTGTATCTACCCTATTTTCCTCCTGAATGTCACCCCTTTCACCAGGGTGGTACTGGAGTGGAAACTGTAGACAGGGAAACATTTTCTCTTGTTACTACTATAGAAACCTACATTTCTCTGACCTGCAGTATTTTGGTTCCCTGCCAGCTTCCTTCCCCTCTAACCCTTTCTCGGTGGCTGTTCCCTTGTCCCTTTTCTGTGATTTTCTTTTTCTTTTATAGAACACAACTGTATACTCTGAGGGAAAAAAAATACTGTATTACAATTAAAGTGTCTTGGTCAGTTAAAAGCACATTAAAAAGGTCTTTCCTCAAGACTAGGCATGTTTATCCAAAATAGTCTTTGCATGTTTAAAATGAGAAATTTCAGAAAAATACAAGTAGGTTACTCAAAAAACAAGTAGGAAAAGAGTAATGAAAGTAAAAACTGTTTTAAAGCTGTTTTTTATATTATATTCCTGCTTCAGATATGCTAAATTTTTATTAACAAATGAATTAGACTGAGTACACTTGATAAAAAATATAAGGCAGGTAGTAGATAAGAGGCGTGTGTTTATATAAATTTTTTAAAGAAGTTTATAATGTTTAATCATAATCCTTCATCCTTGTTTTCCTGTCCTCAAAGAAAACAACCCCCCCACACACACCTTCACTCCTTGGGAAGTCATTGTGCTGGGCAGTGAGGTGAGTTGAGGCTGAAGTCAGTCTGTACGTGGACTGCAGGGCCACGGACACTGACCCCATCTGGAGACCAGATGGTGCCATGTGCGGGCAGGCCCATCTGCTGTCATGAACCTTAGCCTCGGTCTGACAGAAGCTTGTGAGGCACATAATAGTGGCTAAGTATGACATTCCTTTAAAGAAGCACTACCCCCAAGAGGTCACTTTTCAGATATTTTAGCCCAGACCTAAACTGTCACTTGCAGCATTGAGCACCTAAGCATTACTTATGGTGCCTTGACTTTAGGCCTGAGCAGGCCCTCTTTTGAATCTGCACATTTTCTAAAAGCAGGGCCCAGTTATGGCCATGATCAGCCATTACTGACCAGGTGCCACATACCATGGCAGTGTCTGGAGTTTGTGCATGTTTTCAGACGGTATTTACCTTTTAAATAGTATTATCACATTATTATGTAATAGGTAGTTAAATATATAACCTTCATTTATGCTTTTATGAAATTATGCTTGGCATGTCTACTTGGAACTATTTGTTTTGGAAAGGGAACCAAAATCACAAGTCTTTTAAAATGTGTGTTTTTGAACTACATATTTCAAACACATGTTTTAAAACTGATCATAAAAGTAACATACCTGAAAGCTGAAATACTGTACACTGTCCTTGAGAGGTAACCATATAATCCTTCAAACACACAGCTTCGAAAACAGCCTTGTTGAGTCTTGATTCAGTGATGCAGTTGTCATCTTTATCTATTTCCTCTTTCAGAAATTTTCTGTTTCTTGTATTTTATCCCTTTTATCATGAAGTGATTCAGGCTAACTTTCCCAGCAAAGGTAAAGTTGTTGCCTTCGAGACGTAAGTAGAAAAGTAGGTGAAAATGGCCTCCCAGACTGAAAACTTGACTCCAGTTAAATTTTTTTAGGTAACTCCCGGGCACCTCTGATATTCTATTGGGGAATGACAGTCTCCAACTATGGGGTCAGCTCAAGGTGCTCTCTTTTTTAGAATTCTCACTTTCTTTGCTTACTTTGTTACCTTTTCTTTAGCTGCATATGTTTTCCATCTCTGGTGTTGGGCCTGGCTAATTGAATTCTAAAATCCTCCCTTTTGTTAAATCAGAAATGACCTGCAACCTACCAGGTTCTCCTGTTTTATATTCTTGAATGTGAAGATTTAATATTATCAAGTTATCAGCTCTTAGATTATTTTAGCTTCCAAATGAAAGGGCAAGTGACTTTGGGAGGTAACACCATACTACATCCAATGTCCATTTAAGAGGCTAAAAAAAGGCCAAAACTTTTAAAGAAAAGTCTGAAAGAGAAGGGAACTTAATTATTTTAATTGTCTGTTTGCTATATCAGTATGGATTGGAATGCATTACCTCACAAAATCCTAACCACGACTCTGTGAGGTAGGTGGTGATAGTTTCAAAAAAACTAAAGTTCAGAGAGGTTAAATAACTTCCCGCAGACACACCGCTTGTAACAGATGGAGCTGGGATTTAAATTCACAGCTAATGAGGCCAAAGCAATTCTTTTCTCAATAGTATGCATTGCTATATAATGAAGAACAGAAGGTAAAACACTCATTCAAGCTCCCATAGTTAAGGTGATGACGGTTAAGAATGGGACAGAATAACTCTGTCAGGCATAAACATTATTTTGTATATGAAAGAAATAAAAATTATGGTTGGAAACGGCATCAAAAACCATTGGGAAAGAGATGGATTATTCAATAAATTAGGTTGGCACAGCTCAAAGAAGTTTATTACATTATTATTATTTACTATTATTTTGGAGACAAGAGTCTTGCTCTGTTGCCCAGCTTGACCTTGAATTCTTGGGCTCAAGCAATTCTCCTGCCTTTATCTGCCAAGTAGCTGGGGTTATAGGCACTCACCACCCACCATGCCCTGCCCAAAGCAATTTAAAAAGAAGTTTACATCTTTTCATTGCATGCTAAAATGAATCAAAAGCAAATTCAAGTTAAATATACAAATTCAAACTGAAAAATATTAATGTAAGTATTTATCAAACTGCTAGAGTAGGAAAGATTTTCTAAATTGGGGTGCAATAGAAAAAAATTGCAAAAGGAATGTTGATTAGATCTGACTATATTTGTTTTTAGTAAAAAGTGATCGGCCAGGCACGGTGGCTTACGCCTGTAATCCCAGTACTTTGGGAGACTGAGGTGGGCGGATCATGAGGTCAGGAGTTCAAGGCCAGCCAGCCAACACGGTGAAACCCCGTCTCTACTAAAAATACAAAAATTAGCTGGGCATGATGGCATGTGCTTGTAATCCCAGCTACTCTGGAGGCTGAGGCAGGAGAATTGCTTGAACTGGGACCCGAGAGGTGGAGGTTGCAGTGAGCCGAAATCGTGCCATTGCACTCCAGCACTCCAGCCTGGGCTACAGAGCAAGACTCCATCTCAAAATAAATAAATAAATAAATAAAAAGTGATGTATGTCAAAAAAAATAAGAAGGCAAATAATAGACTGGGAAAAATATTTTCAGTGAAATTGACAGACTGAGGTAATGCTAAATTAATAATGTTTTTAATATGTAACCAATGAACAAATAATATCGAGTAACTTTAACAAGTAAATGGAAAAAGGCCGTAATTCACACACATACAAATACAGATATTTATGAGTGTGGGTTTTTTTTTACTTATTTTGCAATATTTGTAAATTCACAGGAAAGTACAAAAAAAAATACAGAGGGAGTTCCCATGCACGCTTCATCCCGCCTTTCCCTACATTAACATCTCTACAAGCTTGTTTGTTAAAAAGGAAAAACTCTTCAGTCTAGCGAAAACTGAAACAATTAGATTAGCACAAACATTTTCTAAATTATGGTATGCAGTGCCCTCAATATAGAAAAAACATGTTTCCTTATTTGTTGGTGTGATTAGATAATATATATTTTGCCTTAAATGTTATTAATAATTCTCCCAATAATTGATTTAAGAAATAACAAGATACAAGCAAAGACATATTTACAAACATACTAAACCATTTTCGCAAATCTGTAAACGTCCTTAATTTTATTATTACTCCATGACACAAATATGTAATAAAATATTTATCAATGAAAGTCCATTGTCTCAAATAATTTTGAATGGTCAGGGAAAATGTTCACAATATAATGTTTAGTGAATGAAGCAGACAATATGTAAGCTATGTATATCTCAGTTTTTCAAAATAAAATTTATACACAGATATTTTAATATGAAAATACCAGGAAGTTAATAGGGGCCACATCCACTTCCACATTCATATCCACTTCAGTGGGACTTGAAGTGATATTTTATTTACACTTTTTAATATTTTCTATTTTGAATACATATGTTTCAGAATGCATTTTAATTTTGAAAAAAACTATCTTACAGTATTGTTTGGGGGAACTTTATAAAATTGCATATGTAGAGATATGAAAATAGCATGTTTACAGTTATTTCAGAACAAAGCAAAACGACATGTATAAAAAAGAAGAAATGTGTTAAAATGCCTATAGTGGTTATTATAGTGTGAACTATGAATGTTCCTTTTCCTCCTTTTTCTCTGTTTATTTGACTTAGGGGTGTCCAGTCTTTTGGTTTCCCTAGGCCACATTGGAAGAAGAAGAATTGTCGTGGGCTACACATAAAATACACTAACACTAATGATAGCTGATTAGCCAGAAAAAAAAAGTCACAAAAAAATCTCATAATGTTTTAACAAAATTTATGAATTTGTGTTGGGCCGCATTCAAAGTCATCCTGGGCCATATGTGGCCCATGAGCTGTGGGTTGGACACACTTGATTTAACTTTCTGTAACGTAAACAATAGATAACCGATCATGCATTGCAAATGTGAAAGGAAATTACGGAATTGAACCGATTGGGTTAATATTTTAACAAATGAGGTCCTGAGTTGTTTAAGACACCGTGCTGGAGACTTGGGGCTGCAGCAGTGCTGGTGAGTTTTTAGTACATACAGGAAGACACCACCAGAAAGGGCTGGGGGCTAGGACTATTATTTTCAGTGTTGGTCAGCCGAGAAATTCTTCTGACCCATCAGTCTATAAGGAGGAAGATACAGAGAGAGCAAGAGTGATAAATTAATGAGTAGAGCAACTAAATAAATCATGAGCATCTTTTGTGACAGGAGCACACAGAAGACACAGGACAATTCTATTGTTTGAGTGAGTGTTACAGAAGCTATTCCTTACGATGTTTTTAAACTCAATAGCTTTATGCCTGGCTCTTTTAAGGACAGAGACCTTTTCCTTAAAGTTAACAGCTGTGATACTTAAGATTCTACAGTCATCTCTGTTAGGGTAGAGAAGAGGCTTGCTTTACAGAAGGCTGCATGGTATTAAAATGGGTAGGATCATTAATACCTTGGGCAGATGCCTTATTTGGGGAAGGGATATATGTTTCGACAATTTATAGATACATATTTACAAACAGAAGCAACCAATTTATAAAGGGATCACTGTATTTTATTAATTATGGAAATCTGCTGTGGCCCTCTTGTCATAGCATTCCCTCCCTATGTGACTGAGGGATGCATCCCAAATTCAGACGATTTCTGGGCAAGATATAATCTGCCTTTTCACCAAATTATTCTGGATGATATGGAAGCAACTCCTTTGTCAGCCCAATAAAAAATGTGAGTGGCTTTACTACTACCTGTCCACTCTGATTCAAAGAAATCAAATCAGCCTGTCCTGAATCTGTTCTTTTTCCTAAGGTGCCACCTCTGTGAAGCCCTCCCCAAACCAGATCTCCTTAATCAGAATCAGTCTCTCCACTTTGCCAGCACTTTGTCTCTTCCACAGTCCTGGTCTGATGCTTGTTGGATGCATTCTCTCACCACGCATTCAGGCCACAAAGCTTGCCTGGTTCATTGCGATATCCTGTCATGGCCAGCTCAGGACCATATATAAATCATTCACTCAGTTTGTTGAGTTGAATCGAATTGCCACTTCCAAACAGAATAGAAAACACACTACCCAATACTTTAGGTCCTCCCCAGAGGGCAAGTCCAGACCCAGTGGAGTGGAGAATGTAGGGTCATGCGAGGTTAGAAAATAATGAAGTTCTGTTGTATTATTTGTAGAGGATTATAAAGAGGACTGGGGACTTCCTTCGCTTGCACAGTCATTGTGGGTGGAAAGAGACAGACAAAGAGAATTTATATCATTCATCAATGAATAATAAATAATCTGCCACCAAGGTGCTTCTGGACCCAAATTCACTGTGTATTTGTCAAGGGACACCTCAAAAGCAGCATATTGTTCCCTCGGAGAGCATAGGGGCAGAAGAAAGCTATATTGGTCTGAACCAGCCGTGCAGGAACATGCATCAGTGCAATGCAGAGGAAATTTTAGTATAAAAAGAAACATCCAGCAGTCTTAGTGAATAAGAGGATATGATTCAGAGAGCACTGGAATTTTTCCCCTTTTAAATGAAACAAAGAGTTTTAAATGAAACAGACAGTTGTTTTTTTGCCTTGTGATTTGTTGCATGTGTGTGAGATGTGATAGTGCCTGGAAGTGAGGTGACCATTTGCAGGAAGAACTTTCTGTTTTGCATGAGGCTTGCTTCTTAGTGTGGGAGCTGACCTCTGCTTCGAGTTGCTTATTTGCATGGGCCTGCGACCTCATGTATTGTACAACTAAATCATTTGTTTATTTTCTTTCTCTTGAGTATATTTCTAAATGTATGCATTTTTGATTTTGTTCTTCACATAGGAAAACTCCAGAGATGAAAATCGAGCTCTGGTTCATCAGCTTTCTAATGAAAGTAGACTCTCCATCACTGACTCCCTTTCCGAGTTTTTTGATGCTCAGGAAGTTCTGTTATCTCCAAGCTCTTCAGAAAATGAGGTTTGAGCACTGTTTTCAGTTAGCTGCCTCAAAAATCTCTCTTGTTGCTTTACTGATTAATCTGTTCAGTAAATAATCCATAATTTATCCATAATGATATAAGTTCTCTTTGTCTCTTTCCACCCATAATGACTGTGCAAGGAAAGGAAGTCCCCAGTCCTCTTGATAATCAAATTATGAAACACCAAACTCAGTGACCTTTTTCAGTCATTATATTCTGAGAGATCTCTCATAGCTCACACCGCAAAAGTACAAATATACTCCAAAAGTACACTATATGTTAAAAGAAAAAGTAAAGGTAGAGAGCATTGGATGTTTGCTCATTTCTATGACTTGATTTGTTAAATTTGTTATACCTTTTTTTTTTGAAATGGAGTCTCACTCTGTTGCCCAGGCTGGAGTACACTTGTGTATTCTCAGCTCACTGCAACCTCTGTCTCCCAGGTTCAAGTGATTCTCCAGCCTCAGCCTCCCAAGTAGCTGGGACTACAGCACACGCCACTGCGTCTGGTTAATTTTTGTATTTTTAGTAAAGACCAGGGTTTCAGCATGTTGTCCAGGCTGGTCTCAAATTCCTGATCTCAGGTGATCCTCCTGCCTCGGCCACCCAAAGTGCTGGGATTACAGGTATGAGCTACCATGCCCAGCCTGTTTTCTCTTTTTTACTTTTTTGAGAAAAAGTCTCACTCTGTTGCCCAGGGCTAGAGTCCAGTGGTATGATTTCTGCCAACTGCAACTTCTGCCTCCCAGGTTCAAGCAATTCTTGCACCTCAGCCCCCCAAGTAGCTGGGGTTACAGGCGTGTACCCCCATGCCCAGCCAATTTTTGTATTTTTAGTAGAGACGAGTTTCCCCATGTTGGCCAGGCTGGTCTCGAATTCCTAGCCTCAAGGGATGCACCCGCCTTAGTCTCTCAAAGTGGTATACATCTCTTCGAGTACAGGTTAATAATTTTGACTTCTACCTACTTAATAATGTATTGTATCTACTACAGAGAAGGAAATTACCATCCTGTAAATTTTTTAGTCATGGGATTTGACCTATATTGATTTATAATATATAATTATTTTTATTATAATATGATTATTATAACATTGGTTTATAGCATTTTTGTCTTAAATTGATGCATAAAAATTACACTTTCCTGAATAGCAGTTATCATAGTTAACATTGCTTTGTGTCAATGTGTACTAATAATGTTATTTCTTAAATAGAAACATAGTCATCTTGTTTATGTATTCCCATAGAAGATACTTTTTACACAAATAGCTCAAAGACAAATTGTAACTCCTTCTACTCAAACACTGATAAATTCTGAAAATGCAGTCTGAATTAATAAGAAGCTTTATAATAACAGTCTTGAGCTTGCTTACTGTTTTCCTTGTGAGAACTAATTCAGAATGTATAAGAATTTTAAGAACAGGTATTTGTTTTGAACACCTCCTTGGCAGATTGGTATATGGACCTTTATGAGAACAGTGCCCAATAGTATTTGTAGTGTGGGTCTCAACATGTTTGATGATATGGAGTAAGAGTTTTGTGAAAATCTGGCTTTTGTTTATTCTAACGCTAATGAATGTTATTTCTTCTTTCCCGTAGATTTCTGATGATGACTCATACGTCAGTGACATAAGTGATAATCTTTCCTTAGATAATCTCAGTAACGATTTAGATAATGAGAGACAGACCTTGGGTAAGATTTACATTATTTAATCTCTGAAAAGTTTGGGTTTTCATAGAATACTAATAAGTTGTATTGTTGACTCTTGAACAATATGGGGGTTCAGGGCATTGACACCCCACATAGCTGAAAATCCATGTATAACTTTTGACTCCCCAAAGATTTAACTACTAACAGTCTATTAACATATATTTTGTGTGTTATGTGTATTTGAGACTGTTTTCTTACAATAAAGTAAGCCAGAGGAAAGAAAATGTTATAAAAATATCATTAGGAACAGAAAAGATATTTACTGTTCATTAAAGGGATCATCATAAAGTCATCATCCTGGTCATCTTCATGTTGAGTAGGCTGAGGAGGAGGAAGAAGAAAAGGGGTTTGTCTTACTGTCTCACAGGTAGCAGGGGCAGAAGAAAACCTACATACAAGTGGACTTGTGTAGTTCAAACATGTGTTGTTCAAGGGTGAACTGTGTAGAGGACCTGCTACAAACAAAAAGTTCTAGCAAGTACTATGTAAGACAGCTAAGAACTCTAGCAAGTACTATATAAGAAAACTAAGACACAGACACCACCTCCAAGGATTTTATAATCTAGGAGAGGAGGCAGCAGCCACATGTAAAAGATGTGTTAATTCAAATAAATGTCTGCCTGTGCCAATTTTTATTTTTATAAAGTGAATGTATGCCAATTATATGAATGTAAAAAATTTAACGATATCTTTTGTTGTTTTGTTTTGTTATTTGAGACGGAGTCTTGCTCTGTTGCCCAGGCCAGAGTGCAGTGCCACAATCTCAGCTCACTGCAACCTCTGCCTCCCGGGTTAAAGCAACTCTCCTGCCTCAGCCTCTAGAATAGCTGGGGAATATAGGCACATACTACCACATCCAACTAATTTTTGTATTTTTTGGTGGAGACTGGATTTCATTATGTTGCCCAGGCTGGTCTTGAACTCCTGACCTCAAGTGATATACCCACCTTGGCCTCCCAGAGTGCTGGGATTACAGGCATGAGCCACTGTGCCTGGCCCAGATATCCCTTTTAGAGTCTAGTGTTCTCTCTGCATACATGTTAGAATATGGCTTTTTGTCCTTAGATATCTAGGGGTTTTTATAATTTAGGAATGTGATAGGGATATAATAAAAGATATGATCCAAGTGGTCATATAGCTTCAGATGCTTCAAAACAACACATTTGAAAGTAACAAATGGCTACTTCCTAGGACAGACCCCTCAGGGTATCTCCTAAGATGACCCTTTATTACTGGTTGATCCCAAGAAGGGAAATGATGGGCAGGAAAGATATTTCATAATGCTAGTTTGAACTGTGGAGTATCTGGAGTGTCTGGCTAGCCCCCAAAACAGCTCTGATTTAGGACTTCAGTAAGCAGATTGGCCTGTTTAGGAAGGTGCCCTTAAAAAGAATCTGTCCACCTGGGCAGTTCTCTGCATGGGTCCTTGTGGCATCAAACATTTATCAGTCTCGGTATTCATTATGCCTTGGCGCCTCTAGGTTTGTCTGCACTGTGCATTGGATACTCAAACCACCACCTATTTTCATATCTACACAGAAGAGAGGGACCGTGTCATGCACCTTTTTGATATTTCAGTGTTTCTCAGCCCAATATTATGTGTGAACTGATGAATTGTTATCTGCTAAAGAGCCACCTTTTGAGGAACCACACTATAGGGAAAGAAAGCGGTAATTTTACCATGCTCTGGAAGAGTATTCTTGCAGCATCACACCTGCTACAAATGAGATGTTCATTGTGGTCTGTATTTTGTTTGAAATGTTTCTGGGGTGATAAACCCCTTCGTAGAAAAGTCTGAGAACCAGTGGGTTTGAAGAAGAAGGTCAAAAACACTGGAGAAAGTTTCTGTGCTGCTTATTTTTCTAGAAAAACAAGGAGGCAAAAGAAAAGAAGAAACATCACTCCCTTGGCAAACAGCATACACACTAAAGTGGCAAACCCACTGTAGATGAGGAGGATCGACAAAGTGGAAGTCATCCATCTCTTTGAGATTATAGAGAGGAAGCCACAGGGAGCACAGACTGACTGGAGAGTTCAGAGGTCAAAGGTGAAGAGGGGCATGGTCCACAATGTAAGACCACAGCTGTGCTATGTTGACACCAGCCAGGAAAAGCTTAGAGGTTAGAGCTGGTTCTGTCTCACTCCATAGCCATGTTGCTAGAATGCCAACTAACATTGCCTTTTTGTGTGTGTGAAGACAGAGTCTTACTCTGTTGCCCAGGCTGGAGTGCAGTGGTGCGATCTCAGTTTACTGCAACCTCTGTTTCCCGGGTTTGTGCCTCAGCCTCCTGAGTAGCTAGGATTACAGGCATGCACTACCATACCCAGCTAATTTTTTGTATTTTTACAGAAACAGGGTTTCACCACGTTGGCCAGGCTGATCTTGAACTCCTGGCCTCAAATGATCTGTTGCCTCAGCCTCCAAAATTGCTGAGATCATAGGCATGAGCCACCGTGCCTGGCCTATGTTGCCTTTCTTGGATAAGCCCTGGGCAAAACCCAACTTTCTTCTTTGTCAGTATTTGAATACTAGAAATGTAGGTCCTCCAGTTCTTTGCACACATTCCCAGGGGTGGGGGGAGATTGTATTTCTTTTTTTTTTTTTTTTGAGACGGAGTTTCGCTCTTGTTACCCAGGCTGGAGTGCAATGGCGCGATCTCGGCTCACCACAACCTTCGCCTCCTGGGTTCACGCAATTCTCCTGCCTCAGCCTCCTGAGTAACTGGGATTACAGGCATGTGCCACCATGCCCAGCTAATTTTTTGTAGTTTTAGTAGAAACGGGGCTTCACTGTGTTGACCAGGATGGTCTCGATCTCTTGACCTCGTGATCCACCCGCCTCGGCCTCCTAAAGTGCTGAGATTACAGGCGTGAGCCACCGCGCCCGGCCAGGGAGATTGTATTTCTAAGCACCAATACTCGACTGAAAAGATTGGATACAGAAGTAATGTTTATATTTTATATCATCTTTTTGCCTATGTTAGGCATCAGGAGAGGACCAGGGGCTTGATACACTATTATTCTTTGAGTTTATAGTAAACATGGGGTTTTTAGAGTGTTTCCTATTAATTTCTCCCCAGAAATGTTGCGGGGCACATATTAGGGCCTAATATGGATTAAGGGACCAGACTTCCTTGGCTAGCCCCAGCTCTACTGCTCAGTGGTTGTGTGTTGTAGGAGCAGATACTTACCTTCTGTGTGCCTCATTTTCTTCATCTGTGAAATGAGGATAATAATACTGTTTACCACAAGTGATGGTTACAAAGGATAAGTGGGAGTAATGCATGTAAAATGCTTAGAAGACTGCCTGTCACAGAGTAAAATGCAAGATATGTGTTAGCTGTTAGTAGTATTGGTGGTGATGATGGCGATGGAGTAGCACTCTTTCAAAACTTAAATCAGCGTAATTGAACATTTTTTGAGACTACATGAAAAGCTGTTTTCAAAAATGAGTGCAGGCAAGGTGCAGTGGCTCACACCTATAACTCCAACACTTTTGGAGGCTGAGGCAGAAGGATTGCTTTGGGTGAGGAGTTTGGGACTAGCCTGAGCAATACAGCAAGACTCTATCTCTAAAAAAAGATACAAAAACTAGCCAGGCGTGGTGTAGCATGTCTGTAGTATGAGCTACTCAGGAGACTGAGGTGGGAGGATTGTTTAGGCCCAGGAGTTCAAGGTTATAGTGAGCTATGATCACACCACTGCACTCCAGTCTGAGTGACCCTGTTGAGAAAGACCCTATCTCAATAATTAATTAATTTTAAAACTGCCATTTGCAGCTATTTACCTATGTTGTATTTACCCGTATTAAGCAACTAAAACAGGCTGGACATGGTAGCTCACACCTGTAATCCCAGGACTTCAGGAGGAGGAGGTGGGCTGATCACTTAAGCTGAGGAGTTTTAGATCAGCGTTGGCAACATAGTAAAACACCATCTCTACAAAAACACAGAAGAGTTAGCTGGGCATGGTGGTGTACATCTGTGGTCACAGCTACTTGGGAGGCTGAGGCAGGAGGATTGCTTGAGCCATTGAGGCGGAGGTTGCAGTGAGCTGAGATTGTGCCACTGTACTCCAGCATGGGAAACAGACCAAGACTCTGTCTCAAAAAAAAAAAAATTAATTTAATTTTAAAAAAGCAAAACAAATTTAAAAATTAATTGGATGACTAGATTAACATGTGACGCACAGTGTGACCCTGTTTTCACATGTTTCTGTTCATCAGAGCAGCCTCTTTATTCAGTGATTGGCTTTATAATAAGTAAATGTTACATATATATATATATGTTTAATAAAAATAATAAAGTATGTTGGTAAAATGTAAGAGATTTCATTTGAAAACAGGCACAATGCAGGATAGGAATTTCCGAGCATAAAATGAAGGAAAAGATTGATAGATTGACATACCTAAAATGTATTTCATTCATCAGAATCCTCCCATGGACCAAATTTAAAGGTAAATGCCAAATGGGGATTAAACTGTAAAACAAATATAGAAACAAAAGAGTATGGTCTTAATACACACATAGGAAGGCAGACAATTCAGCAAAGAAGTACTCATGAAAGCACTCCAAACTGCACAGGAAATGTTTAAAATATAAGCTAAAACAAGGAGATTGTACTATCCACCTGATAATTTGACAGAAATTAAAAATGAAAAATGACAAGCCCGAAGAGGCCTCAGGAGATGGATGCTCACATCTGTGGCTGATAAATGGGGAAGCTGGGACTGCCTTTTTGAAAAGCAGTCGATCATGTGAATCAAAAGTGTAACAACATTCATAGTTGTTGACATAGTAATCCCACTTCTCTGTATCCTAAGAAAATAAAGATACAGGCAAAAAATATTTTTATGGTCATTAAAAATGATTTTTTTAAAAACTCTTAGGTTCAGGGGTACATGCACAGGTTTGTTATACAGGTAAATTGCATGTCACAGTAGTTTACTGTACAGATTATTTCATCATCAAGGTAATAAGCATAGCACCCAAATAGGTAAGTTTTTGATCCTCACTCTCTACCTAGCTCCACATTCCAGTAGGCCCTGGTGTCTTTCATTCCCCTTTTATGTTCATGTGAACCCAATGTTTATACCCCTTTATAAGTGAGAACATGCCCTGTGGTTTTCTCTTCTTGTGTTAGTTTGCTGAGGATAAACGGCCTCCAGCTCCATCTATGTTGCTGCAAAGGATATGATCCCATTCTTTTTTATGCCTGCACAGTATTCCATGGTGCATATGTACCACATTTTCTTGATCTAGTCTACTGTGGATAGGCATTTAAACTGACTCCATGTCTTTGTGATTGGGAATAGTACTGTGATGAACATACATGTGCATGTGTCTTTACAGTAGAACAAAATATATTCCTTTGGATCTATAGTCAATAACGGGATGGCTGAGTTGAATAGCAGCTCTGTTTTAAGGTCTTTGAGAATTTGCCAAACTGCTTTCCCCAATGGCTGAGCTAATTTACATTCCCACCAGCAGCGTATAAGTGTTGCCTTTCTCTGCAACCTCACCAGCATGTTATTTTTTGACTTTTTAATAATTGTCATTTTGACCGGTGTGAGATGATATCTCATTGTGGTTTTGATTTGCATTTCTCTAATAATTAGTGATATTGAACAAAAACTGATGTTTTAGAAAAATTTTAAGTAACATGGAAAAATACTCTGTTAGCTGAACAAGCAGAATATAAAATATGCGTACAGTATGAACAACCCAGATGGAGAAAACACAAAATGAAGATACCCCAATATATAAATGGCTACTATTTTGGGGCGGTAGAGCAATGAAATGACCATTATTTCCTTTATAATTTTTCTGTACTCAACACAATTGTTTTTACCAAAATTTAAAGTGATTTTTAAAAAAGTTTATAAGTTGTTATAAACAATAAGCAACTGTAGGCAAAGAAATCCAATTTCCAGTTTTGTTGTAAACATGTATGAGCTACAAGGAACTAGGTTTTGAGAAACAGCTCGAGGTCTTTTCTGTGAATAAAGTCGATGGGTTTTAGTGTGTGTAATTTTTGGTATTTAATTGCTCAGAATTCTTTTGCTGATTTTCTGACTTCCAGTCATACTCTGGACAACTGAGTTTAATAGTAACATAGAGTACTTGCTAGGTAAGGTTTTATTCATGGATTAAAAATAATAGACTAAAATGAAAAGCTTTATAGAGACAACCAGGCCTCTTTTCCTCTCAGGGCCTGCCCTTGAAAGTGGTGGAGAAGCAAAGTCCCAGAGAAGAACGTGCCTGCCAGCACCCTGCCCGGGCAGCAGCAACATCAGCCTGTGGAACATCCTGAGGAACAACATTGGGAAGGACCTGTCCAAGGTGGCCATGCCTGTGGAGCTGAACGAGCCCCTCAACACGCTGCAGAGGCTCTGCGAGGAGCTGGAGTACAGCGAGCTCCTGGACAAGGCTGCGCAGATTCCCAGCCCCCTGGAAAGGATGGTGAGGACTCAGCCTTCCTGCATCACTGTGCAGCCTCTGTCCCTGAGCCACGAGGCTAGTCACGGGGCCCATCAGAGAGACAGCCCTGTTCGCTCTGGTTTCATTTTGATTGCACCGTAGATAGGTTCATCCCTCAGAGTTGTCTGGCTTCCTCCGCCTGCCTGTTTCCAGTCACCTTGTCAGGATTTGGAGGCAGGGTTTGGTGCTTCTGTGGTACTCGGTGCCTGGGGTAGTTCTCTTCGGTGGGTTTGTGCTTCCTCTTTCTCCAGAAGCCTTCTGCCTGATTGTTCTGATGTGCCTGGCTGGAAAACATGTCTTTAGGGCTGTCTGCGTGTTTATTTTTACTACCCTGGCAGGACAGAATTTAATTTCTTGAGCTGTTTTTCTCACCCAGGATAAATTTCCCCTGAGAATGTTTTTGTTTGTTTCTGGAATTGTCCTATCAGCTCCTAGTTTTCTGGAAAATAGAGTTCACAAGAAGAGGTTTTCACTTCAGAAATAGTCTTTTTTTCTCTCTCCCTCTTATAGAGTACTTAAAAAAAATCTTAGAAAAACCCTCCTTCTCTCCTCTACTTGGCATCAACGCCAGTCACAGTGTGCTGGCTTTTAAAAGGGCTTCCAAGTGTTTCTCATCTTTCCCATCTCATGGCTAGGGAGATTGGGAAGGGGCTACTCAAAGGGCAAGACTCTGGGCAGATCAGCCCTCTCTATGACTGTGACTGACTTTGTTCCTAAACTTGGGGTGTCTGTACCTCTTTTTGCTTCCTCATATTCAGTGACCTTAGAGCAGTAAGGTCCTGGTCTCTATGGGATGCTGGGACATTAGTGTCCACCAAATGCAGAGTCTCTCTCCTGGACATTTGCCAGCTGGCTACATTGGAATTGGAATGCCCCCTTGGCTTCACAGACCTAGCCATGCTAATACCCCCATTGATAGAGGATGCTATTCTTTTCTACATTTTAAGCATTCTGCAATTTTAGTGCTCATTAAAACATCATTACTTCCGTGATTTTAAGATTAAGGGGAAATCTTAACTGTTGGCTGAGAGGGATATCCATTGTCATTCTGCCCAGTCTCCGGGCCCTCCCCTATCAAAGAGACTTTCTCTTTTTTTGAGTCAGGGTCTTTGTTGCCCGGGCTGGAGTACAGTGGTGCAGTCCTACCCCATGGCAGCATCAAACTCCTGGGCTCAAGCAACCCTCCTGCACTGGCCTCCCAAAGTGCTGAGGTTATAGGCATGAGTCATCGTACCTGGCACAAGAGATTTTCTTTCTTGTTACTGATAATCAGGGTAGGAAACAAAAACAGGCTATTTTTTTTTTTTTTTTTTTTTTTTTTTGAGACAGAGTTTCGCTCTTGTTACCCAGGCTGGAGTGCAATGGTGCGATCTCGGCTCACCACAACGTCCTCCTCCTGGGTTCAGGCAATTCTTCTGCCTCAGCCTCCTGAGTAACTGGGATTACAGGCACGCGCCACCATGCCCAGCTAATTTTTTTGTATTTTTAGTAGAGACGGGGTTTCACCATGTTGACCAGGATAGTCTCGATCCCTTGACCTCGTGATCCACCCGCCTCGGCCTCCCAAAGTGCAGGGATTACAGGCGTGAGCCACCGCGCCCGGCCTGTATTTTTTAAACTCTTCTTTGTTATTTTTCCCCAGATAATTTTTGCTGAATAAAAGGAAGGCAAAGCTTCTAGAAATAGCTTTTAAGGCAAGTGTTGGCAGAGTACGGTGGCTCATACCTATAATCCCAGCACTTTGGGAGGCCAAGACAGGTGAATCAAGAGATCAAGACTATCCTGGCCAACATGTTGAAACCCCATCTCTACTAAAAATACAAAAATTAGCTGGGCGTGGTGGCGCGTGCCTGTAGTCCCAGCTACTGGGAAGACTGAGGCAGGAGAATCACTTGAACCTGGGAGGTGGAGGTTGCAGTGAGCCAAGATTGTGCCACTGCACACCGGCCTGCCAACAGATCAAGACTGTCTCAAAAAAGAAAAAAAATAGCTTCTAAGGCAAGTGTTATAAAAGTCAGCTTTTGTGGGTAGCTCTTTTCTTTAAAGGAAATGATTGGCTTTGAGGATGAAAGTTTCTTAAAGATGTTTCTTGCTGTGGCAATTTAGAGACCCTTAGGATATTCAGCTGATTGATTGTGGTAATTGACCTTGAGCAGAGGTTTGAGGAGAGGCTTCTCATCCCCAGCATAACCACTAAGCAGGAGTCTTGTCTCATGGGTTTTGTTTACTGTCCCGCAGGCCTCCTTATACGCCTGCCTGGACTCCCCCTCATGCCACCAACCCACAGGGACAGTGCTTCCTTCTGCCTCTCCCTCACTCTGTCTTCCCCACAGTATCATGAATAGCACTGGGTTCTTTCATTGGTTGTGTTATATTTTACATGGTGAAGGTGATTCAGGGTTGATTCAGTGTTCCATACACAGTGTGGCTGTACTGTTTCACAGGTCACCAACATAGGGAAGCAGGGAGAGGAACAGACATGCAGGTTTCAAGAACACAGTCACAAGTAGGACTGACTTGAGTGTTGCAGTTGATTATTATTTCTTCTTCTTCTTTCTTCTTCTTTCTTCTTCCTTCTTCTTCCTTCTTTCTTCCTCTTTCTTCTTCCTCCTTCTTATTCTTCTTCTTCCTTCTTTCTTCTTCTTTCTTCTTTCTTCCTCTTTCTTCTTCCTCCTTCTTCTTCTACTTCTTCTTCTTCTTTCTTCTTTCTTCCTCTTTCTTCTTCCTCCTCCTCCTCCTTCCTCCTCCTCCTCCTCTTCTTCTTCTTCTTTCTTCCTCTTTCTTCTTTCTTCTTCTTCTTCTTCTTTCTTCTTCTTCTTCTTCCTCTTTTTTTGAAACAGGGTCTTGCTCTGTCACCCAGGCTGGAGTGCAGTGGCGCAATCATGGCTCACTGCAGCCTCGACCTCCCGGGCTCAGTCAGTCCTCTCACTTACCACTTCCCACGTAGTTGTGACCACAAGCATGTGCCACCACACCCACCTATGTTTTTTGTATTTTTTTGTGGAGAAGAGGTTTCACCATATTGTCCTGGCTGGCCTTGAACTCCTGGGCTCAAGCAATCTGCCTGCCTTGGTCTCCCAAAGTGCTGGGGTTACAGGCGTGAGCCCCTGCACCCAGCCTGTATTCTACAGTGTGAGGTGGTGAGGTGGGCCCTGTTACAGGCAACACCAGAAATTTAGCAGAAGGTTAAAAAGGAAGGTTATGTGATTAGTGAGCGTTTATGAAGGGTACTCATCTCATCCTCAGTATAAGAAACTGCATAAAATGTTCTGGGAAGAAATCTTGAGATTGTTACTACCCGATATTAGAAAGGAAAATTTGCCATCACTGCTTAGGCTTAACTGTTTTCACACACATGGAAAAAAAGACAAAGAAGGTAATGTGCCTCTTTGGTGCCCTGACGGTGAGCTGCTAAAGACGCCAAGACCTCACAGGGAGGGCCCCCAGAGAGTTTGCTCACTTTGTGTTCATATAAAGTTTTTCTTCCTTCCTCTATTTTTATTATTATTTTTTAATGTTTCATTTTTCTTCCCAGAAAAGCAGAACTTTAAAGTCACTGTATCCTGTGGCAGGTTTCCCAGGCTTAGAAATGACTCACAGATTTTCTGTGGTCAAAATGAATGTTTTGGTTTCTATCATACGACATTTTGAATGGTTAAATTTATGATGCTTATTCCTGAGTTTGGGAGGGATTTTTTAATACTCCTTTTTTAATACTCTTTCCCACTCCACCCTTAAAGCCTCAGCACCGTATCAGGATCCTCAGATAATGTCAGGCTTAAAAGTACAGGACTCAGCTTAACAGGTTCCAAAAACGGTGTATTCCATTTTGGAAATGTCACCATCTTGATAACATCTCCCAACTTTTAGGCATTAAGATAAATGGACAGCTTTAAAACATTGGGTTAATTTGTTTTGTGGCCCAAACAAACATTATTTAAACCTATAATTTTAAACCTATTTTTAAATAAGCAAAGACAAACCTTTGGCTTTGTGAAAGAAAATCATAGAGGTTTTATTTTGTTTAGTTCTTTGTGGACAATAAAGCTCTTGGTGACACAGAAATGACAAAGCTCTTTCCTTCTTGTACTTAGGTGTATGTGGCAGCCTTTGCCATATCAGCGTATGCGTCTAGCTACTACCGAGCTGGGAGCAAGCCATTTAATCCGGTTCTGGGAGAAACGTACGAATGTATTCGGGAGGACAAGGGCTTCCAGTTTTTTTCAGAACAGGTAGACGTACACCTTTTTTTGTTTGTTGGGAGGGGTTGCTTATGTCTCCTATTAAATGTGCTTCTGAAATATTTATTTTCCACCTTTTACTGGCTTCAAAGCAACTGAGATAATTACAGTGCTTTTAAACATGAAGGGAAGGATCGATTTCCCTTCCTCCGAAGCCAAGCCACCACCTAGGGGCTTAAAGGTACCAGTAATTCTGCACACTTGCTTGGCTACATGCATTGCCAGTGTCCTTTCTCTTTAAAATCGTTAGCAAAAGGAATTTTGAAGGGACAAACATTGGCCCAAACTTCAATTTAGAGATTTAACGCGTGGCTCCCTAACACACTGACATCAGCATTCCAGAGCAAAATGCCCCCAGCAGAATGGATAGCACTAGGTAAATGTGTTATTCCCAACTTTGATTTGAGAGGTATCATTCTTTCACGTATTTATGTATTCACATCAATACATTATTTCTAGAATGTCTACCATGTGCCTGCTGCTGTTCCAGGTGCTAGGATACTGCAGTAGGGTGGGGGTGAGGGGTCCGGACAGGAGTCCCTACCCTCATGTAATGGATGTGCAGCCCTGTACTCATGCAGCCTAAGGCTCCATCAGTCTCTTGCCACGGAAGTAGCATAGAGGCATACTCAGGCCTATCAGACAGCCTAGGTTCCATCCTATCTCAGCTCCACCTCTTACTCGCTTTATCACCTCGGACAAATTACAGAGCTTCTCTGTACTTTAGTTTCCTCTTGAGAGTGGAGATGATGACAGTTGTATGTACCTTATATGGTTTTGTGGTGATTCATTGAGACACTGTCTGCAAAGCACTTGGAGCAGCATCTGAGACATGAAGAGACAGGTTATATGAGCGTTTGCTGTCGTTACTGCTGCATGCCAGCAGAGCTTGTAATGGTGGGGTGTTGGGAACATCTGAAATACTTGTCAGTGGGGAATTATTTACTTAAAATAGAATGTATACATATTGAAATTAAAAAAAAAAAAACCTCTTACTAAGATAGGCAGAAAGAAATTTTATTAAAATTATAACAAATTTAAAAAATAAAATAAACCCTTCTCCCACCTTGTTAAAGTAGCAATCAAACATGTTCACTCTCTGTATATCCTTAAATGTCAGCCTAGGGACATTAAACATCATTGCTTCTATACGCTTCTCAACCCCCGGTTCTTAGAGAACTGAGGTGAAAGGGGGGTGGATTGCTAAAATATTCTTTTATCTTGCTGCTCTCTTTATCAATGGATTTGCACTACAGGGAAAGGAAGGGAAGCGTGGGTTGGCTGAGAAACATGATGATAGTGCTTATCTTCACTGTAAATGATAAGCAGTGTTCTCTGGAACCCAAAGGAAATTGAATGTACAGTAACCCAAAGCACACTGTCAGTAGCTTGCTGGTTAGAAACTAAAACAAGAAATTAAACACGGGTTGCTGCTGGGGAGGTAGGGGGTTAAATCAGTAGTTGAAGAGGATACGATAATCTGTCTGATTCAAAATTCATCTGGGTTATTTAAATACTGAACCTAAAATAGAATGAGAATAAATGAAAATATATTTTGGTTTCCATGGTATCATATGCACTCTCGTGAAAAAATAAAGGCCAAAAATAGCCCCAAACTACAGCAGACAATCGGGACAGGATGAATAGCTGTAAGAAAAGAATAGTAACGTGAGCTGTGTAAAGTTGAGCTTCAGTCTTCTGAGCCCTGGTGGGACAGGGCCAAATTCAAGGTTTGTTTTGTGTATTTCCCATGGTGGCACAAGGGAAGAAATCAGAGCTCCTGGGCACATATGCACAAAGACAGAAAGAGGGTTACATAACTTAGCATTTAGTTCCATGAAATAAGCAAGAAAGAGAACTGGTTATTGTTAGTAGTTTAGGACGCGCTGGGTGTAGGATGTGCAGACCTGCCTGCTTCCAATCTTGACTCCACAATTTGCTCCACATGTGACCTTATTTAACCTCCTTCAACTTTCTGAGCCTCCCTTGCTTTTTTTTATTAATCTATAAATTAGGAATGATAATTCTTGACTAGTAGGTTGTAGTAAGGCTTAAACAAAATAACATGTTGATGGAAATATTCAGCAAATGGCTACTGCTCTAATTATTTAGTGGGAACTTCTACAGTGGCTTTCTGTTTGTTTTTTTGAGACAGAGTCTCACTCTGTCACCCAGGCTGGAGTGCAGTGGCATGATCTTGGCTTACTGTAATCTCTGCCTCCCAGATTCAAGTGATCCTCCTGTCTCAGCCTCCTGAGGAGCTGGGACTACAGACTTGTACCACCACACCCAGTAAGTTTTGTATTTTTAATAGAGTTGGATGGGGTTTTACCACGTTGGCCAGGCTGGTCTCGAACTCCTGACCTCAGGTGATCCCCCAGCCTTGGCGTCCCAAAGTGCTGGGATTACAGGATTGAGCTACCATGCTTGGCCTACAATGCCTTTTAATATAAAGTGTTAAGAATAGTAAGAGTTTGGGAGGCCAAGGTAGGTGAATCACTTGAGGTCAAGAGTTCAAGACAAGCCTGACCAACATGGTAAAACCCCGTCTCTACTAAGAATAGAAAAAGTTAGTCAGGTGTGGTGTTGTGTGCCTACAATCCCAGTGCTTATATACTCAGGAGGCTGAGGCAGGAGAATCACTTGAACTCAGGAGGCAGAGGTTGCGGTGTGCTGAGATCATACCACTGAACTCAAGGCAGGGCAACAGAGCAAGACTCTGTTTCAAAAAAGAAGAAAAAGAATAGTAAGAGGATTGTTGACAAGGCAGAGAGGAGCCTCAGGAATGACTTTGATGAGAGAAAACTGGAAAGGCATGTGTCCGTTATAATATATACTTTCTTATGTTCAAATAAGATATGCTATATCTCCTCTTCCAGAACAAGTGATTTGAAGGGGACTTGAGGTTGCCAGTGAGTCTCTGACAGAAAATAACTATCAGGCAGCCAGGAGTTCTCACCCCTGGCTTCACCATGGTCACACCACCAGTCCTGTCTGTAATTTAGCCTGATGGATGCAGATAGTTGGTTATTTTAATATACCTATTAAATAAGAATGGATTGAGTCTCTCAGGAATAGATTCACAATAACTAAGCTTACAAGAGACTGATGTATAAACTAGAATGCTACTATATGCATTGACTGTGAAAAATAGACGTACTATGGGGATCAGAAAGCATTGTGCAGTGTGACTAGGTATGATTTTCTCATAGGCAGATTACCCGGAAGCCAAATGAGAATCCTAAGTGAGTGAACAGGGTGAAGATGCAACTGTGTGATTCAGTATGCCAAGCAGCCTTCTGCCCTAGGAGTGGGAGGGGTGTCATGCCAGGGCCTTCCTTTCCCTGGCCAGCAGGAGTCTATCAATATAATGCCCCTCTTTTGCCCTTCCCCACCTTATCTATTCTAATTTAACACATCTGAAGAGAGTGCCAGAGCATATGTTCTATTTCCCTCTGGTACCTAGTATGGCTCTTTCTGCTTCCAGCCCAGGAGACCGTCTACCTTGATGAAGACAGCATGACTCTGCCCTTGTCCATTATGTGTCGGTGATATACTTAAGCTCTCATGGCTTAGAGGTTTGTTTTCTGTGCCTCTCTGCAGTGAGTACAGGTTTCTGAATGACTAATATAACAAACTGAGCAAGACCCCCGAAGTAATATTTTTGGGTGGAATTTTTTTTCTAAGGAGGATGTTGATAGAAATTATATCTCTAAGTTTAAGGACCTGGCAAGGAACAACCTGGCTTTTCTTGTGAGTTTTCTAGACAACAGTCTGATTTGGAAAGTGATGGCTGTCTCTGTCCGTCAAGCCCCATGATTTTGTTGCCTTGTGGATTTGCTGGGTGTGTGGATGTTCGAGGTAGTGAGTGGCCAGGCAAGTGGAAGTCATTGCTGCTTGAGAGCTCGACTCCATCGAAGCTTGCCTGTCTGTATTGTTTCTTGTCTAAAAACCCCCAAACCACAACATCGAAATGACTCACGTGGTCAGAAACCAGAGAAAGCATTTCTTGTTAAAAATTTTTCTTATAACAAGTATTAGGTTTGTGGAGTGCTCTGGGCATTCATGATCTTGCCTGATCTCCAAAACAATCCCTCTGTGGAAGGTGAGGCAGGAATCAGTTCCAGGTGAGGAAACGGAGGCCTAGAGGAGCCAAGCTTCTCAGTGTCCCCCAGCAAATGCTAGAACCCAGCCCCTCTGTTTCGTTCCCTGAATCCTTTTTCCCTCACCCTTTGTGGGATCTCTTGCATGGACTCAGAGCTACTGGAGTCTGCGGTGGACGTGAAAGCAGCCCTTTGTGTATGCTGTTCATTCTCACCATGCAAAATCTCTCCAGACTCACAGAGAACTTTGTTCTCAGCTCCCATGGTAGGCTGGGGTGTGGCCTTTGGAAAGAGGAACTATCAGGAGTGAATCATAGACATTCCTTACCAAGGTTCTGACCCTCTAGCTACTCCACCTTCTCAGAGGTTTCCTTTGTGCCGAAAAATCTGATTCAGCCTTGGCTTTCTAAATGAACCCACAAAAGGAGGAATTCAGAGAGAAAGGACCTCCCTTCTTTCCTTACTGGTCAGAGACTGAGTATCCTCTGACAGGTGATTACCTGCTTGCTGCGCCCTCCTGCTGCCTGGCAGAGCTAACACACTGGTTTTGAGCTGAATCAAGGGAATAGATGGATCAGAAAACTCATTTTGGTTGGCTCTGTTCCTTTTTTCATACCTTTGGGAAAGGTTTGGTGCTGAAAGGATATGCAATTAAGCTATGGTCTAAAAGTAGCTTTTCCTAATTACATGAAACTTCAGTTGTCCAGATCATTGTTCAAGTCATTTTAACCGTTTACCCACCCCCCTGCATATTCTTGAGAGTGTCAGGAAAGCTGAGTGCAGTTATTAAAAGTTACTAAAATGTAAGAGATTTAAATGAAGACATTTTCCTCTTCTCTATAGGCTCAGCCCTTCTTCCTTTTCTGTTTGTTACTGGAGGAGTCTGAG